GTATAAATATGGATCTCTGTCTCTTTTATTCATTCATGCATGCAATGAGCAGTAACTATATTCCTAAGCAAGAAACATAAAGTATAAGATGAGGAAGAATCAGTGTCTGCCTGCAGGGTGCTCATGGTCCAGACAAGGGAACAGATACTGATGGAGACAGAAGTAAGAGGGAGAAGGGCCTGAGATTAGGGTGGCACATGGCAGTCCCTAGGCACCTCTTGGAGAAGGGGGCAGGGCTTCCTGAAGGAAGTCTGGAGGACACTATAGGATTGGAAATAGGCAAATCCACTGTGTTTTTTTTTTTCCTTAAAATTGTGGCAATCTCTCTACTTTGTATCCTATGAGAAGACGTTTGTACCATTTCCGCTGTTTTTCAGAGAGACATTTTATTGTGCATTCTATTACTATTGATTATAGAAAATACTTCAGAGTTCAGCAGCTACTTCCTGCAACACCACAGTACTATCCAACTGAGTCTAAGAGTGGAGACTTTATTGTTTGGATAAACAATCAAAAACATAAACTATGACGCTTGCTGCTATATTTTCCAGTCGCCGTGTGTACTTCTTTCCTGTGTGCTCACAACCTTGGTAAATGTGTTAATCCACTGGTGACATCAGAACCCTCATAATCAAGTCACTTCCCAGAGGCCCAACCTGAACACCGCTACACTGGGACCAAGCTTTCAACATGTGAACTAGGAGGAGTGGCATTTTATATCCAAACCACACCAATGGGCATCTTTTCTTCTCTCTTCTCTATGTTTATACACATATGTTCATGTTGATGATATCCAGGTGTATGTGTGTTCACGTGAGTGTGGAAGCCAGAGGTCAACCTTGAGTGTCATTCCTCAGTCACTCTCCACTTTGTTGAGACAGAGTATCTGGCTGGCTTGGTGCTCAGTGATTCAGACTGGCTGGCCAGTGAACCCCAAGAAACCTCCTATCTCTACCTCCCCAGTACTGGGATTACAAACCACTATGCCCAGCTTTTGATTGTTTTTAAATGGTTGCTGAGGATTGAACTCAGCACTTACAGTTGCATGGCAACCACTTTATCAACTGAGCCATCTCCCCTGCCCACTTTCCTGTCTCTATAATTGGGAACAAACCTTTTGAATGTTGGATCTGATGTTTGAGAAGAGGGAGTTGTGGCATTAGGTGACATTATCTTGTCTGTGTAGTGACAGATGATATTGGTCTTTTCAAGTTTACTGTTTATTGATTCTAGCACTCATGCTATTTAGGTGATCACTGAAGAAAAGAAAAAGACCCACCTGCAGTTTACAGGATGATAACTAGTGTTCCTACTACTGCTGGGGGAGAGCCACCCCATCACTGGGCTGGCAGAATAAGTGGTCCAGTGAAGAGGAACCTAGATGTTCCTTCTCCAATCAGTGAATCTGCTTGTCCCAAGGAAGGGTTCTTGAGAGGCAAGCATTCTGTGGGTCTGTGTAGCATAAACTCGCTGATACCTTTGCCTGTGACAGAGACAATGACTCTCAGCTCTGCCCTTGACTTTTCTTGGTCCCCAGGTATAGCCAAGGGCCAGTGCTTCTGAAATGACTTCTTTGGAGAAAATCTAAGTTGATCTAAGCTTAGACTGTATTTCTTTGCTCTTGGCTGCAAGCCACAGGCCTTTCACTAAACAAGAAAATTAGCCATTGGAGGGACACAGATAGTGCATAGCTCATCACAGCCTCCTAGAAAAGCTTGCTGAAAGCTGTGAGGAGTTGGGAAGCCTCTGATGAGGGCCACCTGTTGAAACCTTGCTGGGATGGTACTAAGGAGTGTGTTACATATCTTCTTATCCTTGGAAAATCTCCACTGAGTGAGGATTATAAAGTGCTTTCAGCAGAGTGTGCTGTGCTGGGAGCAGTTGGAAATGGCTTTGGGGTCAGAATAAAGGTTTTTCCAATTGAACTGTGTCTTCCTCCCGGGGGAAGTGGGGAACACGGGGTATCTAGGAATTTCAAAAGGTTCATCTCCTGGTTTAAGGCAGAATTTTGCTTTTGGCTATGAAATGGAGGGCAAGCGGGAGCCACAGGCATATTGCACCCTCAGGGAGACAGTATACACATAGATAACTAGACATTCATTAGGTCTTTCACTATTCCAAATTCTAACCTGGGTAGTTGTGTAACAGTGGCCTCTTTAATAAGGTGCAATGACCCTATGCATTTTCATCCCCACTGTAAATATGACAGTGCCAGGGATCAAAAAACTAACTTAGCCAAGGTTACACAGTAGCTAAGAAGCAGAAAGCAGGGTTTGAGCTGAGGTGCACCAAGCCTAGCCCCGTGTCAGTGGAGAACAGGATGCATACAGATCCTTCAGTTGTCCTGCTAAAACACAGCTTCTTTCTGAGCCCATCCTGGTGCTTTAGTTTTGACACTGGCAACCAAATGATACTGCTGCCAAAGGCCTTCAGGTAAAAATCTGATCATGAAGGATGTCAACAGATGTAAAGAACTGAGCATCAATTTCCATAAAGTTTCTCAGACATCTTTGATGCACCATAAGTTTGATTGCTCTGTGGCTCTGTGCTGGCCAGTTTTATATCAATACACGCTAGAGTCATCTGAAAAGAGCCAATCAATTGAAAAAATGCCTCCACAAGATCCAGCTATAAGGCATTTTAATTAGTGATTGATGGGGGAGGGCCCAGCCCATTGAGGATGGTACCACCCTGGCTAGTGGTCCTGGGTGCTATAAGAAAGCAGGCTGAGCAAGCCAGTAAGCAGCTCCCCATCCCTTGACTCTGCATCAGCGCCTGTCTCTGGGTTCCAGCTCTTGCGTTCCTGTTCTGACTTCCTTCAGTGATGAACTACAATGTATAAACCAAATAAATCCCTTCCTCTCAAACTTGCCTTTGGTCATGATGTTTCCTTGCAACAATAGAAACTCTGACCAGGACAGTCTTGCATGAGAGAGACTTGGCCCCAATGTACCTACAATTGTGGGAAATCCCCACATTGGCCCCATGAGTTAGTTGCTTGTCTTGCTAGGGCATGAGATGGGTCTCCCTGGGGTTGAGAAGGGGCCAACCGTGATGTAGATATGGGCCTCTAGTCAGTCATTCTTCCCGTATTTACCGAGTCCTGTAGTGAAACAGGAAGCTGTTCTTAGCATCAGGTGAGAAGAAGAGAGAGGCCCTTTTGTACCCAATGCAGTAAGTCTAATAAGCCAGTCACCACAAGTTTGGGCGTGTGTCTGTCTTACAGCTCTCCTGACCCTGACCCTGGAAATACCCTGATGTGCCCTACTGCATAGCCTCTCTGTTCATCCTGCCACCAGCCTAGCTCAGTGTGAATAAACAAAGCAGTGAAACTGCTTTCTGCTAGAAAGGCTTCTTCTGTGGGGAGGACTGTTCAGAGCTGGTTGTAGAACACTCCCGGACTCCTGCCCCATCAGTATGAAGCAGGGCAGCTGACTGGAGAGCAGCCAGGTGATGGAAGAGACTATTTCCCGAAAGATCTGAGGACCCTGGTGCCTAACCCCGCTGACTCCACGTCCATCTCACTGCTATCCTCTGGCCACACTCAAACAGCTCCCAAGAAAACTACCTTCTTGTGAAGGCAGGGTTAAAATGAGTCCACCAGACCCATGATAAATGATAATTAGGTATTTATTAGGGAAGCTTTACACAAATAACAGTAAATAACCGCCGAGGTCTTCCTGCTCCAAAAGCTGAATTCTCTGTCCATCTGATGCTCTCACTGCAACCCGAGAGAGTGAGCCAGCCCTTGCTCTACCTGATAAGGAGTCTACCTGAAACCATGCCTATAGGGTGTGGCCACCACCGCAAGTTCGCTAGCAAAGCAAAATGCCGCTACTCCTTTGCCTGTGTTTTGGTGTCTTCTCAGCACTGATCACTCATTGCCATTTTTGTTTTTCACTTTTCCATTTGGTTCATGCTTGGGGGCGGCGCTTGCATGTCTTGTGTACAGGTGGACAGCCGTCTGTGAAGGTGTGTGCAGGCCTGTGGGGGCCGGAGATTGACATTGGTAATCATCCTCCATCACTCTTCCACCTCCTTTGAGTCAGGGTCCCTCAGTCAAATCCAGAGCTCACCGATATGGCTAGTCTCCCTTAGCCAACTTGCTGGGGGCATTCTCTGTCTCCACCTCCCAAGGCTGGGATTACAGTGGGCCACTGTGTCCAGCTGGCCTTCCAGTGGGCTTCTGGGATCCAAACTCTGGTCTTTGCACATCCATGGCAGGTATTTTAACCACCAAGATAATCCCCAACTGTTTTTGAGGAAGGGTCTCACTGTCTACCTGGCCTCAAACTGACAATGTCTTTAAGGATGTCCTTGGATCTTCCTGCCTCCATGTCTGGGTACTTGGATCATATTGTGGGGTGCACACCTCCATCTCTTATCCATTGGTCATAATAGTTTGAGTGACTCAGAGCTGGAGCCACGACACATAGCATGATTTATAGATGTCACCCGTCCAAGCCAATTAATCCTTTGTGACATCGATTGACATCTTTCTTCCACTCTAGACCCACCCTCATTCCATATCCCAAACCCACAGTTTTCAGGCTCTCTGTAAGCTTCTCTTTGCTTTTTGTGTGACCTGTCCCCATCCAGATCAAGTCCATCATATCCGAAAAAGCCAGCACTCCCTTCGGATCTGCTGACCACAGCCTCAATACCTGCCCGCTTATTCCCTCTGGGCTTTGCCCACACAACAGGGTAGGAGCATCTAGGCTCTAGGGTTTTGGGAGGCAGCTTTGGGCCCAAGGCCCATGTGGCCAGGTCCCCTGTGTGTTCACAGAGGGGCCTCTGTCCAGCCTTGCCCAGTTTTCTATCTCCTGCCTCGAGTTGGAACGTCTGGATATTTTCCACTTCCCAGGCCTCAGATGTATATGTCTATGAAAGCTGGCTCCATTTCTATCACAGTTTTCCTTTTATTTAAATGTGTTGCTATCTAACAACTGTACTCTAAAGCACCCCCCTGCCACCATAAAACAGAAACTAAACAGACCAAATAAATAAATAAATAAATAAATCATCCTTTAATCAATCCTCGATGTCTTAATGGGGGCTTCAGACAAACCCTTCTTAGGGAAGCAGATGACCACATGGCTGTTTGCAGGGAGGGAAGCAGGCATGTTAAGTTGGCTTGGAGCACCACTCTGTCTTGTCACGGCACTGCCTTTGATCTTTAATTTGAGCCATTCTAGGCAGGGCTCCGTGCACTCTGAAAACACACTGTGTGATTAAAAAATGTGCGCTACATCAGCCAAAACATTTGTTTATATTTTACCCACAATTTCAGGGTTCTTGTTTCTTGTCATGCTTTCCCTGAGAACTTTCTTTATGTAATTAAAGAGGTGTGAGCACTCTGAGCATGACTGTGCAGGAGAATGTGAAGCTGGGCTCCCTGGTCTGAAGACAGAGTGGCTTCTCCCCGCCCTCTCAAGTGTGGAGTCCATAGGACATGGCTAATTGACCTCCACTGCATTGTTGGGAGATGGTCACAGGAGGCTGGGGATGTAGCTCCATGGTGTGCACCTTACTTTGCATGCCCAAGACCCTGAAAACAAAACATAAGACAAAACAAAAAGCAAAAAGGATGGTAGCACTAACCCAGGATACCCAGGCAAGAAAGAGCCTCACAAAGACTGAGGCCCCTACAGAGGTCCCTTGGATCCCTTGGGAAGTCAGAACTCATGAATGCTCATCTCCATTTCTGACAGTGATTTCTCTATAGTAACACCATCCTTTGCCATGGTGCCTCCCTGTGCATTGCAGAGTTCAGCAGCCTCTGTCCTCAGCCTCAGCCTCTGTCCTCAGCCTCAGCCTCTGTCCACTAGATGCCAATAGCATAGCCTCCCTTACTGCCGGCTATAAAATGAAAATTATCTCCAGACATTTCCAAATATGGCCTGCAGTAAATGGACTTCCTCCAGTTAAAAGCCACTGCATTGGACAGGGTTGCCTAGGAGCTCCTGGAGGAAGGGGCAGGGTCTGTTGGCCAGAACAGTGGGCATACAACACCACCTCCTGAAGAACTCTAAACTGGTCACCGTAGCCAGGCCTGCACCAGGGCAAGTAAGGAGCATGCGTTGAATACCCATCACCTCCAACCCCCCCCCATGGTGCATACACTCAGGATGGAGAAAGAACTTTCAGAGGAGGGTGACTACATGGCCTCCTTGGGCTTGGGAGTCAGAAAGGAAGGGAAAGAGAGCCAAACAGCCTTACCAAATGCCTGTGTCTCTTTTCATGGGCCTTGCTTAGTGGCTGGTAGAACTCATGAGGTGAAGAAGGCCTCTGTGTGTATGTGTGTGTGTGTGTGTGTTGTTGTTGTTGTTGTTGTTGTCGTTGTTGTTGTTGTTGTTGTTGTTGTTGTTGTTGTTGTTGTTCTTCTTCTTCTTCTTCTTCTTCTTCTTCTTCTTCTTCTTCTTCTTTCTGCTAGGGTATCAGGGAAAGAACAGTTGTAGAGACAATGACACCTCATATGCAGTGTCATACTTAGCTTCAGCTGCCAACTTGACACAAACCTAGAGTCGCCTGGGAAAGGGGAACCACAATTGAGAAATCGTCTTCATCTTGTTGGCCTGAGGACATGTCTGTGGTACATTTCTCAGTATTGTTAATTGGTGTGGGGGGCCCAGCCCACTGTGGGCAGTACCATCCCTAGGCTGGGAAACAGCACTCCTTTGTGGACACTGTTTCAGTTTCTACCTGAAGGTTCCTGCCTTGAGCTCCTGCTCTGACTCCCTTGGTGATGGAGTGGAACCTGTAGGATGAAATAAACCCTTTTCTCCCCAGGTTGTTTTTGGTCATGGTGTTTATAGCAGCAGCAGCAGGAAGCAAAGAACAACCAGTCTGTGAGAAAAGGGTTCCTAAAGGGGAAGAAAGGATCTTAGGGACTGAGACTTTGAAGCTCCTGAGAATGAAAAACAGAGATAGGCACATTGGGGGATGGGGGTGGTCCTGCAGGGTAGCAGTCAGTCCTTCTTCATTCCTGTGGTTTTAGATAACTGAGAATTAGGGAGGACTTCCAAGTGTCAGTGGAGGGCAGTAGCTCAGCCAGTAAAAAGCTTGCTGTGTAAGGTAGAGACCAGAGACCCTGAGCTCAGTCCCCATGTTAAAATCTAGGTGCATTGATGTAATTTGTAATCCCAGCTCAAGAGAGGTGGAGATGGACGAATCCCTAGGGCTTGCTCATCAGCCTAGTGTGATCAGCAAGTTCCAGGCCAGGGAGAGACCCTGTCTCAATAACAAGATCTGAGAGATGACATTCAAGGTTGTCTTCTTGCCTCCATGTGTGCCTCTCTCTCTCTGTCTCTCTCTGTGTCTACTCCCACTGGTCCCTTTCTTCTTATACTTTTCTTTTTCTTTCTTTCTCTATGTCTTTCTCTCGCACGCGCGCACTCACACACACACACACACACACACACACACACACACACACACACAGTATGGGCTTGGGCATCTGTGACAGCCCACTGGTTTCCTCTGTGATGTGTAAGGTTCATGCTAATGAGAGTAACTAAGCAAATAAGGTGCTTTTTAGAGTTCTAGTTTCTAGGTTTCCAATCATAGCACTCAGTACCCCAAGCTACAAAATGTGTGACCATTTCACTGTTATTTCTACTATTGCAGGGAGTTGGTATGTTTAGCTTCTGTCTTATTAACTGAAATGGCTTAGGGAAATGAATGACTTGACCTCACTGGGCCTCAGTTTTCCCATCTGTCAAGTGAGTAATCATCAGACCTACCTCCAAGCTGGCAAAAGAATTCAATAAGATAACCGCTGGCAAGCACCGAGGCCGTGGCTCGAGAGACATCAGCTACTATCAAGAGTTATTCTTAGTCTCTGACATGCAGGGGTCAGAAAGTCCTGTTCTGTGTTCCATGGAAATGTTTTCTGAGTGTGGGCCTTCCCCTTCCTGCCTCTGTTGGCATCGCCTGACCTCTGCCACTAGTCATCCCTCCTGGAATGTCTATTCTCTGCTAACTGACCTTTGTCCGGGTGACTTTTGTCCATTTCCTGAGGTTTTCTGCAACCAACAGGCTAAAATCCAAATGCCATGTGATCCGAACAGACTCCTTAGACTCTTCTGTGGTGGTTGGGATTGTTAGCCATGTGGTTGCCATGACCAGAGAAGAGAGTGCTGACTGGCTTCCCATGCCCGGGTTCTGAACACATGTCTGTTTTCAAGCCACTCTGAGTTCTGGTCAAATGAATTTCTCTGTCCACAGTTTATGTGTTTTGGATCAAAATGATGCACTTTCCCCCCTGTTATGTTTTAAATATAAAATTTGGTTTTTCTGGCGAGAGCTAGGCGTGGTTTGGAAGCATTGCCTGTTCCTGATTAATTTCTCTCTGACATCTCATGTTGGACTCGTTTATTTACACTAACAAGACAGCTTCACAAGCAGCTTCCATGTGAGATTTTCTTCCCTGACGTCACAGAGACAGATGATGAAGGCTAGTTCGTGAGTGAGGGGAAGTTGAAATCAAGGTTCCTTCTGCTCTTGTCTGATCTGATCCCTGCCACAAGCCCACAAACATCAGGCTGTGTATGAGGCAATTGTCTTGTGCAATTGTTGTTTAACTCAGGTCTCCACCACTTGACATCTTACTTGACAACTTGGGCTTTATTTGAAAGTGAAGTTGGGACAAGAAATAAAAGACAGCATAAAAGAAGAGAACAATAAAGGACAAATAGCCCAAGGAGATGGCTCAGTTGGTAAAGTGCCTATTGTGCAAGCGTGAGGACCTGGGTTCAAATCCTACCTAAATGGCTGGCAAGGTGGGGTCCATAAACCTAGCACCTGAGGTTGGGAGTTGAGGGGAAATGGACAAATAATTTGGGGCTCGCTGTCCAGTCAGCCTAGCCAAATTGATGAGCTCCAGGTGCAGTGAGAGACTCTGCCTAAAAAATAAGACAAAGAGAAACCAAAGACGACACCTGACAGTGACTTCTGGCACAAACACATGTGCACACACACACACACACACACACACACACACACATGAGCACATACATACACGCACATGAGCGTGCACATGTACACATACATAAACAAACCCCTTCAAAAATCAAACTCTTGGGGACTTCTGGGCCTTGATAAACCATCAAACAGGCAAATGTTTCCAGAAATATTTTCCTGATGACCCTGAAAGTTAGACTCTTCACATCTTTGTCAGCTGCTGTCTGTCAGGCACCAGTGACCAACCTCAGCCTGGAGAAAGTCTCCACTGAAAGTAGTGGATCTGACTGGGGACACACAGTGCCTCACCTCAATGTGTTGGCATGAAGATTGCCCCGTAAGTCTCTGTATTTGGATGCCATTTGGGAAGGAATAGGAGATGTGGCCTTGCTGGAGGAAGTATGTCCCTGGGGGAGGACTCTGAGGTTCTGAAAGACTCAAGCCATTTTAAAGGTGCCCCTCAGCCTCCAGATTACAGTTTGAGTTACGAGCTCTCAGCTGTTGGTGCCACCATGTCTTTGCTCCACCATCATGGATTCTAATCCTCTGGAACCCAAACCTAATTAAATCCTTTGTTTTATAGGTTACCTTGGTTATGGTATTTTATCACCGTGATGGAACATTAACCAATACAACAGTCTTTTAAAAGTTATTTTTAAAATGCATTTTATTTTACTTAACATGTAGCAATTGTCAATATTTATAGACTGTAGCATGGCATCATAATGCATGCACTTAAACATGTATCGTGCATTTAAGCTGAAGACCATTGTCCCCTAGCATTCTGCATAGTGAAAATATTCAAAACTCCCTACTGGCTATTTGACCATTTAAAATTAATTGTTAACTGTAGTTACCCTACTGTGCTACAGAACATTAGAAGTTGTCTCTCTCAGAGCTAGAGAGATGGTGCAGTGGTTCTGAACATTTGCTGCTCTTGAAGAAGAGCCAAGTTCATCTTCTAGCACCCACACTGGAGGGTTCATAACTGCCTGCAGCTCCAGCTCCAGGGATGCCCTCTTCTGACCTCTGTAGGCATCTCACCCACATGTGCAACCTACATGCAAACAAATATCCACGTAATTAAATTGTTTCTCTCATCCAACTGGATTTGTGTATCTATTGTCCACCTTTTTTCCCAATCTCCCTTTCTCCATATTCCTCCCCACCCAGGCCCTTGTAACTACTATTCTGTTCTTTCATCCTCTGAGATTAATTTTTGTTTCCACATTTAAGTGAGAGCATGTGACAATTGCAGCAGTATTGCTTTTGAGGGGATAAGTTCTGACCCCTTGGCCACATGGCTTTATGGGTTGTTGTACACCGTCTCTGTACTGCAATTTCTCAATGGGCGCTAACAAGCAATGCTTTTGAACTGATGAGTCTTCCCCTCTGTTGACTGTGCAGTAAACAGCTTTAAGGGCAGTCAGAGAAGCAGGATGGGTGGGAGCATGAGACTGGGCACAGATAACCCTACTCCTCCGATCCTAGCTCTACTGGTTACCCACCCCCTCTCTTGGGGAAAGTCCTCCCTTGGTTCTTCTGTGCACTGTTAAAATAAGGACCCAGAGAAGCTGCCTCACTGGGTTGTTAAGAGAACTAAGTAAGATGTGAAAAGCATCTTGAAGGACACCCAGAATGTTCAGCCCACGGAAGCTGCTGCAGTGATGAAGATGAGTTGGCAGTGTTTCTTGAGAGCAGATCATGTGAGTGAGTGTGAGAGAGTGTGTGTTTGAATGTGTGTGAATGTGTGTGTGTTTGAGTGTGTGTGTGTGTTATATGTGATATGTTCAAGCTTGGGGCCAAAGGTCAGCATCACATGTCTTCCTCAATCACTTCCTAATGTGTCTTTTTGAGACAGGGTCTCTCTCTGACTGGCTAAACTGAATGTCCAGTGAGCTTCAGGGATCCTCCCATATTTACTTCTTCTGTGCTAGGATTGCAGATAGGTGTGAACATGCCTGGCTTTTTATTTGGGTGCTGGGGATCTGCACTCTGGTCTTCAGTCTTGCTTGGCAGGCACATGACACCATAAACCATCTCTTAAGTCCCCAGACAAGTGATATTTTTAAATCCCCATGTGATTTGAGAGGGATTCTACTCAGAACAAGGACCCTGGTTGGAGTGAGAACTTGGGAGTGGCCTTACTGGCAGGACAGAAGGAGCAAGTGGAAGAAAGGTTCATTAAAACAAGAGAGTAAAATTCAGAGGAAGGGGAAGAAAGGTACATTAAAACAATAGAGTAAGATTTGCTTTAGAGGTCAAAGGCAGAGAATCTTGGAGGAGAAAGCTGCCATGCTCAGGGCAGCAGCAGGGTTTGAGGGAGAACCCATCCATGTAAGCTGGACCATCACCTATGTGGGGTCTCTCGTGAGGGCACCCTGTCTTACTGCGCTTGAAT